ATAATAAAATAAATAATAAAATACAATATCAGAATAATAAACTAATAAAATAATAAACTGTTCTATAACAGTATATAATTAACTTTTGCTAAATACAATTTATATAAACTATATAAAATTTTAAAAAATCTTGTATTTAGGGAGGTATTGCATTTAAGATAATAAAATCTATAAGTATATATATAATAAAGATATAGCAAGGCTATATATTTATAGAGATTTTTTATAGAATATATATTTAGAGAAGTTGTATTTATAGAAATCTAATGTACTAAAATTTTTAAAAGAAAATTAAAATATAAAAAAATTTTTTTAACAAAATCTCTATTCTAATTAGTTATAGTAACTTTTAGAATCTACTGTATATTACATAATATACTTTATAATTATAGAATAAACCACTTTATATAACCTAAACAAAAAGCAAAACTTACCTAATAGCTATGAAATATATTTTGTAATATAAAAATTTTAAGCTACTATATCTCTATAGTATTATTTTAAAAACTAATAATATAAAGTTATTATAAAGAATCTTTGATAAACTTTAATATTGTATTATAAAAAAAATCTGTATATGATGATTGTGAAAATCTTTATAAGAATTATATATAGATTTTTTTTAGTATTAAATTTAAATATCTAAGTTTTATTACAATTTTATTACAATTTATATTATATAACTAATTTTTTTAAAAAAAATTATAAAATAGATATTATATAGTATTTAACATATAAAATACTTTATTTTAGCTTAAAAAGTAGAGATAAGGTCTAATAATTTTTAAGTAATAGGCTTTAAAAATTATATATACAAATATGTATACTATATAATTTAAGTAATAAAAATTTTTTATGATTTGGGTTCTATAGCTTATTGGTTAAGCTCCCAAACCTCTACAGATTAGATTAACGGTTCAAGTCAAACTAGAGATAAATTTTGTTTCTGTAACCTATAGGGGCTATAATCAGATGTAAAATCTTGTAAAAAGTCCAAGTGTAGTATAAAACCAGAATAAGAAGTTCCCAGAAGAAGACTAGGTTGTAAAGTAAAGGTACTATATGTGATAGCAGCATCACAGAAGGTCTAGATAGTAGAAGTTTGTACATATAAGTCCTCTGGTTGGAGTGACTCAGAGGCAATACCAATATCCTATCATCTTCGTATTTGGCAATACCAATATTCCTACACTTAACTTGTGGGATACTTGCTTGGAAGGATGATCAATAGATTGTGTACATAAGTCCTAATGTGGAATGATGTTGGGTACTTACTTGGAAGGGTAATACTATACTACCAAAAACTGAAGTAGTGAGAGAAGTAGTAATATACAATTATAGGCTATAGTAAAAGATCATATTTTAACTGAAATTAGAAGCATCTCTGGTATTGGTAGAATGACTATAGAAGGCTACTCGGCATAGAAAATGTAATCTACCCCTGTATGATTAAAAGTAATAATTCAAAGCTCTGGTCACACCTATATGGAAATCTATGATGAAAAAGAGTTAGGATTTATCAACACTAATACAACACTAACTAGAAATAGCTAGAAGTGATTTAGCTTGCTATTTAAGTAATTTCATAGTATTAGGCTAGTTTTTAACAAAATAGGTCATTAAAGCAGAATTACGAAAATAGCTAATAGCTGGGAGCAGTGATGTATACAGAACATTTTGGAACATAGTGTTTGGACATTTTGGGACATTTTGACAAAAAATAAAACCAATTTATTCAAAATTTTATTATAATAATCTGGTTTAATCTCCTAAATAAAGTTGTAGAGCATTAGACAGAATATATAATCATATATTTTTTATAAAAATATTTTAAATAGTTAAAGCTAAAATTAATATTTCAGACCTTGAACATTTTCAAAAAATGGCGGGACAGTCAAAACATATATCACTGACTGGGAGTATGTAACCTTGTAGTTGCTATACAACTCAAGGGGTTCTTACGAACTATAGTTCTGATGAATACCATATAAAGAAGTACTTAAGAAGGTAATAAGAAGTATACTGTATCAAATAATTTAGAAAATATTAAGACCTGGAAACAGCAAACTAGATAGCAGCAGTAGGAGTCTAGCTTGAGATATGAGACAAGTATACCTGAAGAAACAAGTAGGAGGTTTGAGATATTCATGTGATATTAAGTTGCATGAAGAAATACAAGCTAGTATTAGTTAATACAAATCCAATAATAAGTCTCTTTTCCAACATGTGATACCAATGCTTCTTATATAGAACTAGTAGCAGCAGCAAGTATCTGGCTTGAGAAATATGAATAAGAGGCTACCTATTAAAAGGAATATACTAGTTTAGAAAATACTTTGAATAACAAGCATATCAAATTGGAAGACCATTAAGGACCAATTACCTGAATGAACCAATTTGAGAATTACCAAGATTTGATAATAAGATATAGAGCGAATATGGTAGATAACTAGATATAGTCTGAATACCAAATTCAGGTATAACCTAATACTGAGAACATAGCATACTTTGGTAGATTTAGATCATAGATAAAAATTGTCAAAGTCTGTATTCTTAAGTTATATATGTAGCCATATAAGACAAATACTCAAAACTATCTAAATAAAGATATGAGACAAGATCTCACCTTAACACTAAAAAAAAAAGTAATAAAAATTTTTTAAAAATTTTTAAAATTTTATATATATATAATTTCAAAAAAGAAGCTTTTTTGCTTCTAATGAAAATTAAAATTTTACTTAAAAATTAAAAAATTTTTATTAATTAAAGTTTTTATTATTTTTTAAATATTATTGTATAAAACTTTTGTAAATACTTTAAATTTAAAAAATTAGATTATAAGATAATATTTTTTTATAGTTTAATTTTCTAAAGTTGTTAATTAAAAAATTATCAAAAAAGTTTTGTTGCTTTTGAATTTTATAATTTTATTATTTATTATTTTTTAAAATTTACTTTATTTTTTTTTACTATTTTTTTGCTAATTATTTATAGTAAAATCTTTTAATATATCTATTTAAAAATATATATAGTGCGGGACACCTAAAGGCCTCACAAACTTTAAAAGCTAATAATATTTGATATAAAAATAATATCATAAAAAATAAACCACTATTTTGTAGTTTAGCTATTTTGCTACAACTTGGTGACCTTATTTTTTGAAAAATTATTGTATAATTTTTTAATTAATGAGTTTAAAAATATAGTATTTTTATATAATATGTAAAAATTTAACCAAAAATGGGACAAGTCTCTTATTCCTATTGGCTAATTTTAAAATTAATTTTAAAATTAATTTTGAATAATTAATTTTCAGCCAATCAAAATGCAAGAATTCACAAAGACATCAAATTTCAATATGAAATTTTTGAAAATGGGACAAATTTATAATTTTGTCTTTAGATGTCCTGCACCGTATTATTTTTAAAAAATGCTACAATCTAATAACAAAAAATAACTTAAACCCTATTATGAGATAGTTATATTTTGTATTTAGACAATATGGTTATACTATATACAAGCCAAATAATATCTTTTATAAATACTAAAATTTGCTATTTCTTTTATTACCAAAAATTGTCTAAACAAGCCATTTATATATTTTATAAAATACTCGTATTAATAAAAAAATATAAAATTTTTAAAAATTTTTAAAATATATTTTTTATCTTTTTTTTTTAGTTTGCTTAAGTTTATAGTTAGTTTTTTATAATAAAAATGTATAAGTGAAATTTGGTAAGGTTTATATTTTTAAATCGAGATTTCTAATTTCCAGCTTCGGCCGTTTCCAGTTTCAGCCGCGATAGTAATTTATTTAAATTTATCAAAATATAAAATATAGTTCTACACAATATATAATTAACATTATTAATAATAAATTACGCCTTCTTGGCATCCTATAACAATAGTATTTAAAAAAGTTCAAATTAATATTATTAAATTACAAAATTACTATTACTACAGTATTAATTTTAATTACAGTATATATATAAAGTATATATAATAAAAAAAATTAATTTAATAATATTTGAAACATAAGTTTATATAATACTAATTTTGGTTTTTTTTTTATTTTTGTATAGCAAATATGTTTATATATCTATATATAGTATTCAAATAGAAATTGTCTATACAATATTATTAAATAATCTTAATTAATCTTAATTTAAACGAAAATAAAAATATTTTTTTATAGTTATTATTTTATCTACTATATAATTCTAGATAAACACCTTATATATTTAATAAATATATATACCCACTACGTAATTATAAAATAAAGGCGCAAATCAACAAGCTGTAATATTATAATTTTAAGAAAAAAATAAAAATAAAAATAAATATTCATCAAATTTAAAACAGTTGTTTTTTTTTTATTTTTTTTTTATTTTTTTTGATTTTGATTTTTTTTGATTTTTTTCTTTTAGTTAATTCGCGAAAGGGAGGTGAGATTATTTGATAACTTGGGTAAATATGGTAAATATTTAAGACCATCAAAATTTATCAAAATTCAAAATCATCACCCCCCTCTCACTACGTATATATTTTAAGCCAACCTATCTTCAAATAGATATTTCTGGCTAATTGATAGGCTGATAATATGATAAATCTCTGTAAAATACAAATTTTTTTTTTTTTGTTGGTTGGCTTCTATATACAATTTCATCACCTAAAATAAGTAAAACCTGATACATACATCCAATGCTATACATAATAAAATTTCTGATTAAAAAAAAAAAAACAGTCCAAAAAATAAGGTAAAAAATAAATAAAGTTCATTAGGCTTTTTTTTTTTTTTTTTTTGAGGTTCTAATGTCCAATATGATTCTTATATCATATTACGGGTTGTATGAGATTTGACCTTAAAAATGGCTATGATGTTGTAGATAGTCGAAAAATCAACACACCATCAACACACCATCAAATTAACCAACATCTGCATCCTACGACCGTTACTAATAATGTTGCCACTGATTAGAGCGAAAAAAGTTTGCACTCTTGATACTCCAGTCATTTACCGTTAAAAGTTGTGGAGTCTTGGTTATTGATAAATCCTTTTTTTTATGAAAATTATCGATTTCAAGATTCTCTGTTAAAACACTAATAGGTGGCAATCTAGTGACTTTTGATTGTTCCTGGGTTGATGACAAAAATTGGGAAGTGTTTGACAATATAGGCATTGAAGAGGATCGTGTTGTAGGTCGAACACTAAAAGCAGGGCTGTGTGTTGAACTCGGTAATTGACTATGGGCAGCGCGCGGACTTGAAGTGAAATGTGGAGTAAATTGTGGCATCGTAATGTTACTATTATTATTGTCACTAGTGTTACTGCTAAAATTGTCATTGTAACTATCAAAGGATTTTCTG